GATTTAGTGAGTTTTCTGTGTGATTCTCTTGTTGTAGCATGCTAAATTTCATAATTGACGTAGTCTTAGTTTTAATTTTTGAGCAAGTGTTGTTCTCATGATTTCTTGGTGTTGAAATTGTGACAATTGATGTGTTTGTGATGATGAGGTGAGCCTAGCATGATTAATATGTTGTTATTGTGCCAATTCATGAATTACTATGTTCCATTATGTGAAAGTATAAGTACGAGGTTATTTAAGTTGCAAATATACACCCTTCATGATCACGTTAAGTACTTGCCAATGCACATGCTATATAGATGATAAATTGCCTGTGAGAAAGCATATGTAAATTTTATGGAGAAAGCATGTTCATTGTATTCTTGAATATCATTATGATTGAAATTATGGAATTGGTACTCAGGCATGCCATGTCATTCATCACGCATGCATCGGTGTGGGTTTGTGTGGAGGCTTGTATGCGAGAAATGAATTTTAAAAAGTTTTGGTGAAAAAGTTTGTGAAAACCGAACGAAGGAGAGTCGCCTCATGTCTTGGGTGTTAATCCAACCTAGAGGGGAGAACGAGCAGGTTATGTTGTATACGGTTGAGTTACCTATGCCCCAAATGGTGCTAGGGAGTTGCCCTAGGCCAAGGATAGCTAGCCAATCTTCCCTCGTGGTGACGGGGAGTCGCCTCGTGCCAGGTTGTATTAACGATTTTGGCGTGAGTTGTGTGGAGCGAGTGTGGTGCTTGGGGATGCATTCATTCATGGCATGAGGCGTACATATTTTTATTTATTGCTTGTGTTGCTGACCTTCTTATCCTTGTTATCTAAATGTCGTTATATGGAGTTCTTATCCTTCCCAAGTGCATGATCCCTTCCTTTTTCTTCCCCTTTCTTTATGTGCAGCTCACGGGTCCTTAGGAAGAGTGTTTTAGCCACTCTCTACTACCCCTTCCTTAACATTTTTAGGAAATGGAAAGAATGCGGAGGAGGAGGTGTTGCGGATCTATTTTGCCTATTTGGTGATTATTTTGGACATGTATTTTTTGTGTTGATCTATGTATATTGAGGATGTTTGATGTAATTGATATGGTCTTTGGAGATTTTTGATGTAAGTGAGATTATTAATGTAACTATTGTGTTATGAATTTTCGGGTCGTCATAAAATGGTATCAGAGCTTGACCCAACTAGAAGTGTGTCGACGGAGACGTCGGGTTCCCAAGGGGGGTGGAATTGTGAGGCTCAGTGGGTGGGAGCATGCGTGTGATAGGCAAGGCTCTGGTGCGAGTTACGTGTGCTCACAATTCCCACATCGCCTGGGTGTGGAAGCGTGAAGTGCTATATTGAGGTCATAGTTGTCAAAGGCGCCTGAGGCGCAAGGCGCCTCCAGGCGCCATGTTTGCACCTTGGGTACACTTAAGGCGTCTGTGTTAAGAGAGGCGTGCGCCTTTCTGACCAAGGCGCCAGGCTACAGGCGCTATAAAGGCGCGCCTGCATGAAACTGTAGTTTTTTTACTTTTTTTTGCTATTTTTTTTTTGTTTGTTTATTGTCTGTGACTCTGTGTAAGTGTGTATTGTTATATTATTGTATTCTATTATTTTATTACTTAATATAGTAGAAAGCTCAAAGCCGAAAGCCTTGCAAAATAAAAATAAAAAAAAAAAAAAAAAAGAGAAGCAAAGGAAAGAAGAAGACAGAGGCAGTGAAGGCAATACAGTGCTCACTCGGACTCTCGGATCTGCGTCGCGCCGTCGGCAAACACTCAGCAGGTAAGTTCTCCTTCTTCTCTCCTTCTTCTCTCCTCCTCTTCTCGGACCTGCCGGATCTGTCAGTTTTTTTTTTTTTTTTCTACTTTTCTTCTTCTTTTCTTCCCTCAACTCTCGGACTCTCGGCTCTTTCTTGCCAGATTTATATCATTTATTTTTATTTTTCTTCTTCTTTTTATTTTATTTTATTTTATTTATTTATTTATTTTTCCTCCAGTTTTATTCTTCTTTTTCTTTTTCTTTTTTCTTCTTTTCTTCTTCTTCTCTCGAGTCTCGGCTCTCTCCTGAGTCCTGGCAGATTTGTTTTTTTTTTTTGTCTTCTTTTTATTTTTTTTATTTATTTTTTCTTTCTCCAGTTTTTTTCGTCTTTTTTTTTTTTTTTTTTTTTTTTCTTTTCTTCTTCTTCTTCTCTATAAAATCTCAAAGGCTCGCGCAAATTTCAACAATATTTTCTTATATTAAAATTTGATTCTGGGACACAATTAATTAAAAATCAGTAATGGATCCTTGGGTTAGTCCAACGTAATGGATCCCCTTAGTGTCAGTCCAAACATCTTTGTCCAACGTAATGGTGTCTTTCAATTGTATATTTTTTTTTCTACTCTTCTTCTCGGCTCTCTGTGCTTCTGCTCTTCAGAGTTCAGCCTCTTCTTTTATTTATTTTTTTTATTTTTTTATATTCTGTGCTGCTGGAATAAATTGTAGTATACATATCAGTTGGTATATGGTATCATGCAGTCCATATATGCATATATATTACATCTCATATAGTAGATAAATCTCATATAGTATATGCAAGTAATAAGTGTGTGTGTATATAAATGTATGAACATGTTATGCAGTCCATATATGATGTTTATGTTTGTTTGTTTTAGTTTTAATATGTTTGATTATTCACTGTTGAACTCAAGTACTTGATTTACTTGGTTTTGCAATCTTTATGTTGAATATTTAACTAAAGTAATTCATTTAGTTGACTTTTACATCTTTAAATATACTATTGCATCTTTAATATTTTATTGGGTGGGTTTTGTTTTTTTTTTTTTCAACGTGCGCTTTACTTCAGTCGGGCGCGCGCCTCGCCTTGCGCCTCAGGCTTCAGGAGGCATTTGCGCTTTTGTGCGCCTTGAGCCTTTAACAACTATGATTGAGGTTCATCACCCTTCTTTGACACTACGCAGTTTAAAGTTGTGATGGCCGTGATCCTATCATTACTCTGGAGTTATGCGTGCTTAATTTGGAGTAGTACCAGGATGGGTGACCTTCTGGGAAGTCTCTGGTGTGGGGGAGCCAAAAGTGGATAATATTGTGTCTGGATAGGGTGAGGGCCGTTACAAGATTCTAAAGAAAATCAATGACAACGCCTATATGATTGATTTACTTGCTGATATGGCCATTTATCCTACCTTCAACGTGGCTGACATTCAAGAATATTATTTGCCAGATTTGGGTAACTTGTGGACGAGTTCTTTTCATGCAGGGGAGTCACAAGTATCTGAGCATACAGGGTCATCGAAAATCAGGGAGGCTGAAAAGGTAATGAGAATAGATGAAAAAATAAATAAGGAAAAGTCAACAATAGAAAATGGAAAAGTTGAAAATAAAGAAGAAGATTGGTGGTGTTGTTCACAATAGGCAACACCATGATTGGTGTAGTTGCCAACAATAGATAGCTTGATTGAAGAATTATTCTATATTGCAAGATTTAAGGAGGATCCTGTTCCATCAAATCTCAGCAGATGCCTCTTTCCCCTTTAGTAGAGTATTATTTGACGGATGCTTTACTTTTTTTAAAAAATTATTTTGACTTGCCTATATAAAGTCAAGAGATGTAGTTTGCAAGCAGACATTTTATCAATGTAATTTCAAGTTTTCTCTCCTGTGAGTGTGTTCTTTGTGAATTCAAGGGTTTTAACCCTGTTCTTTATCTTCGCTATGTTACCTTTTCTGAAAAATGGCATGACTACTTGAATGTCAAGTTAGATATCTAAGTGTGCCACTTAGACATCTAAGTTGCCCTTTCAGAATTTTGGCTCAGCTATTTGAATGTCTAATTTGGCATCTAAGTTTGACCACGTAGGTGACTAAGTGTCTTTTACAAATTTTTTGATCACATATTGGAATGTCAAGTTAGACATTTAAATGTGCTTTTTAGGCATCTAAGTCATCTTTTCCATAATATCAAGTTTATTCAAGGTCATTTAGGCGTCTTAGTAAGCCGCTTAGGCGTCTAAATCATCTAAAGTACTGAAAACTTCTTTCAAGTCTTAAGTCTCTTCCAACTTGCCAAATGACCCTTTATATACGAGTCATCTACGTTTATGGTTTAAGTCAATGCTTCTAGAGACCTTAAGATGGTATTTATTTATTTATTCAATTATTAAGTCCTAGTCTCTCTTTTGTCTTCGGATTGAGCTTTCATCAAAATGCATCACAAATTACTTTACATTGAATCTAGCTCTCACCAAATGCCTATACTTCCCGTGGTCGTGAACTTTGTCTTCAATTGCTTTAAGTTCCATCACCACGAGGCACGGTCCATTTGAGCTTTATGATTTGTCCATGATATTTTATTGAGTTTAAAGTCAAAACCTGATTAACACAAACTCAAGTGGAATATTAAATTCGCACTTTAATTGTTTGTTATCGTCAAAATTACTCAAATGCCATTGGGTTGAAACCTTGTGGTCAATTGATATAATACTTATATCGTGCTGGCAAATGGTTGTCTTCATATGTCATTTCATATATTTCTAATTTTTTCAGAGCCTTTTTAATCTAGTGATTTGGGAAAACATGGCTAATACTGATTTCATCCTTCTAGTTGTCTTTTTTTGTGTAGTGACTGCCATTTCAGTCTTACCTGTAACAAATCAGTGCATACAATTGGATGCTTAGTGAAGACAAAAGCCACACCCCAGACAATCTCTTGTCTACTAATCCTAAAGAAATGCAGAAAATGCATTACTGCTTTAAGCATTTTAAGTGAGCCGTGAAACTCTATTGTTTGCAGTGCAAATAAATATGCATTTACTGGCTGGTGTAAACTGCCATTTCTATTATTGGTCATTAGGCAGTTCATAAGATCTTTGAATTAGCGACCAGGAAGCAAGTGTTTTTGTTGTGAAATATATCCTCCTAACCATCCTTCTTTATTTACTTTTTATTTGTGGTTCGTTATATAGTTTTCATTATAAGAATATTGCATATTTTCACTGGAATGATGCTTTTTGGATTTTGTTTCAGATGTAAATTCATGAACTTTTCTAGAAATACCAGATGCCTGAAATGCAAAGCGAATGGGCCTGAGAGGGTTTCTGTAGGTGATGTTGAAATGAAGAAAGGAGATTGGAACTGCCCAAAGTGAGTTATTGCTTTTGACATGTTAAGCAACATTCCTAGGAAAAATGTTGTATTTCGTCAAAATCATTTGGTGGGCAAATAGCATAAGTTTTGGCAAATTTGATTTAGAATTCATTTTGCACTGCATGCGACTATAATACTAATTAAGAACAATGATACTGACACGGGATTGAGGCATATGACACAATGAGGTTTGACTCGAAAATCGTAAATGGATACGCATAAGGCGATGACATAAATAAAATATATTATCTTTTATATTTATTATACACGACTAATAAATATTTTATGATCGTAACATGAAGTTTACGACTTGTAATATATATATATATATGTAATGTCTATGTATGCGTGTGTTTGTGTGTGCATGTGGATATGTATATGTATATCTGCTACACAAAATTTGATGATTTTGTTTTCTACATGCAATGTCCACCCTTCTATAAAACCTTCCTACGTGGTAGTTTTTTTGTCTAATTTTTTTTAAAAAAAATGGTTGTACTTTATATGAATTTTGTTGAACCTTTAATTTGAATTTGCATATAATCGTGCCATCCTTTTCCATGCCCATAAAATGTTGGTCATGTATCCAAAACAAATATATATATATATATATATTTCAAAATTATAGATACGTCCGAAATATGTTTGGGAATGTGTTAGAAGTGTGTATAAAATTTTTCTGACACTGACAACTTCTTAGAAGTGTTACCCTGCTTCTTCAAATACAAGTCTGTCTTTGTTATTTCTGTTGGAATAATGATAGAAACCCAAAAGTTTCCCACCAAATTAGGACCCGAACATGACGTGGCTTGGACATGTCAGATTCAGTAAAACATCCTAAAACAAATATTTTTTCTAAAAAACGGATTCTCTCTCAATGCTCTCTCTATATATTTGCGCTCTATATATGCACACACATATATAGCCCCTTGTAATTCTCTCTCTATATTTCTTTCTTAGTTTATTTATCTTTATATCTCTATTGATTCACTGTGCATCTATATTACCCATCTCAGCTGTAAATTTCTGGACAATGAAGCTGTACCGTACAATTTGTGGTACCCAAAAAAAAAAAAAAAAAAAAAGGCTGTACAATTTGTTTTGATTTTGGGTATGAACTGCTTATGTCTCTAGATTCAGTCTATGTTCATCTATATCATCCATATCAGTTATAAGTTCCTTTATCTCACGGGTTCGATCCATCACTTTGTTTCTCTCATACACTCTCCAAACAGAGAAGGGGTTTAATCATGAATATATTTATAAAACTAATCTGACGATTTCTACAAAAGCTTATAGTTGTATTATATATCTATAATTGGTCTAACATGTGGTCTATTAGATACCAAAAGCTTATATTTGTCTAGGTAAAATAATACCAAAAGCTTATATTATGTCTTGAGTCTTTTTTCCCTAGCATATTGCATGGGACATTCATTGGGTGATGCACATTTATGCATACAACCTTTTTTTCCCTTGCCCAGCTCGGGAATATAATTATTTTTTTTAACATGGAGTGTGCGTTCTGTTAATTGTTTAATGTATTTTCATTTTGTTTTGTTCTTATAAAACGAGTTGTGTATAGGTGTGAGTTTATGAATTTTGCAAGCAACACCAAGTGTTTGCGTTGCCGTGGGCCACGTCCCAAGAGAGAGCTGGTTCCCGGAGATTGGGAGTGCCCCAAGTGAGTCTCTCGGTCTCTGTGTTTTGAAGTTCAAACTTGGAAGTTAAAATATACAATATCAATCAACGAATCAATTTCCTTGTGCAGATGTGATTTTGTGAATTACAGAAGGAACATGGTCTGCCGGAAGTGCGATTGTGAGCGTCCTAAAGTGGCCGCGGCACAGTATGAAGATCAGTTATGGAGGAAGCCCAGATAGGTAGCCAAGCTTCTTTTGAAAAGCGGCAATACTGATTCATGCACGGAGAGAAGTTGATGATGAGAACTTTTTCAAGATAAAATTCCCTACAATTGACTTGTGCATTTAGATTTGGTTGGTATTCTGCTGTCACAGAGAAGATAATCAAGGTGGGATATGCTTTCCTCTCTAATTTTGTTGATTTAGATGAACTTTTTTGGGCATTGTTGGCTGTGTAATTTGGCATTTTGCCACTGGTTGGTCCTCTTTTGTTAGTGTTTTAGGATGAAAATTGAAAAGCATTTGGTAGTTAATTGCAGAAAATTCCCATGAATTGTCCTCCCTGAACTGCCGGCTGGTTGCAAATTCTTCTTAACCTATGAATAAATTGTGTCATTAGTTGCAAATAACGCGACAGTGTTAGTTTACTGTTAATATTTTTCCACTTGGAAGAAGATAATAAGGAAAAGGGCAAAGCTAATTCAAACATGATTAATTAGTTGCAATTTTGTAATTTTTTTGTTCCTAAAAATACTCACTTTTGCTGTGCCTTGTGCAGACTTGAACACGTGCTCCTGCAAAATATTTTGCTCTGAAAATATTTTTTTTAAAGTAAAATATATATTTTTAACTTTAGTTTTCAGTGGTTGACAAAGATAGGTGAGGTTGAGTTCGAGTTCATCCGGTGGGGCGTGATAAATAACTTGTCAGGTTTTTAATATTTTTTTCTTCATTAATATTTTACAACTAAATATCAATATATATATATATATTTTTTTATATCCCAACAAACGGGGTAATAGTGTGAAATATCTTCAAGAAAGTTATAAATAGTATGAAAGTTACTTTGAAAATGTTTTTGCTAACCTAAATTGCCTTCTTATATTACATGCTAGAAAAGCAAGAAAAATGAATTTTCTTCATGTAAATCAATTTTATTTTTTTATTTTTTTTAAAATCTAATTGCTTCAATCCACTGTCCAGGTCAGTACTAGAGCCAAGAATTGATGGTCAAAGTGATTTTGCATATTTCTTGTACCGTATTGTAACGGGTGAGTATTTGTCCATTTAATAAAAAATTTAAACTATTTAGTAGTGTTGCATATCAACTCATTTATTTTTTTAGCACTTATTACACGTATCCAGGGTTACCCAGAGTTAAAAATGGTTAATTTGGTGGTTCAAACAAACCTAGTGAAGGAGTGGCCAATATGGGGACCTACAGATTTAATTGAGATTCATCTATAGAGTATTGCTAAGTTTGAGTGATTTGGAGACTCCTTTGACAAGGACATTGCTTCCCAGAGACTTCAAATCATTTCATATTTTTCCTTCCTTTAAACTCATATTTCATTACAATTTGAATTCTGATATGGTTGATCATAATCTAAGTAGCTAGACATTGAAAACTCATATATTATGTTTGGAAGTAATGAAATTTTGAACTAATAAATTATAATTCGGACTTGTTTTTGACAACAAAACTAATCAATACAAATATATATATATATATATATATATATATATATATATATCACACAAATCTTCCTCTAGCTTGAGGAAAATCAATAGAGAATAGAGACTAATATTAAGAGAAAAAAAGAAGTGGAAGAAGAAGTGTCATCCGAAAATGAGAAAAAGAAAGAGTGGGTGGACTAAAATGAAGTCAACCCATTTTGGCTTGTAGAACCCTCCAAAGTCAACAGTCAAAAGAACCACAGTGACTAAAGTGCCCATCAATGATCATCACATCCACCACAGTGCCACAAAATATCATCTTCTCCCTTAACCACACTAACCAGTTCATAATCATAATCCCCCAAATAAATAACTAGATAAATGGAAAAAAATAGAGGAAAAATATTGGGACCCGGCCACATGGCGCGCAAATGGAGATGCGTCAAAATCAGAAAAATACGAAATAAGCATTTACCAAAACAAGTAATTCACCTCGTTCGTGAAGGCAAGTCAACCAATTTTAATTAAATTCCCACCAGGAGGACTTCTAACAAAGGAGGGAACTCTATAAAAGTCCATCCATAATAAATATATGTTCAAAGAAAAGGTACTGTCAATTTATTTTTATTTGTGAATCAATGAACTAAATATGTCCGAGGCATGTACTTCTTTTATTTTTGTTTTTATTTCTGGTAAGTAAGGTGAGTAATACTTTTTGGTAAATATTTTGAAATTTAAAGGTAATTTATCAGTAAAAATTATTGTAGAATATTTTAAAATTAAGATTGATATTTGTAAATTATTAAATTATTTGAATTTCAATATTTTGTACTATAGTATTATTTAAGGACAAGTAATTTTACTTGTGAGGATAGGAGATATGTTTGTTACTGTAGAATATTTTAAAATTATGATTGATATTTATAAATTATTAAATTATTTGAATTTTCAAGTTGTTGTATTACTGTAATTTTTTTTTTTTATCCTTAATTGGTACTCAGACAACCATATATATTCATACCTTGAACTCTTGACCTTCCTTTGGCAATAAGAGCTTGGTAACCCATTGGTTTGTATTACAGTATTATTTGATGATTACAGCGGAAGAAATTTTTTCAAGAAAGGTGTGGGAAAATATTATTTTGTAAGTTTGAAAAGCATAAAATAGAAAAAAAAATGATTATACCTATCAAAACTACAATTGTGATTTCAAATAGACAAAATAAATAAATTTCTATTACACCAGCTCCATTTGTACACCCAATTATTTATATCCATTTTTTAAGACAAATAAATAAATAATGATAATAATATATTAAATTATTAATTATAAAAAATGTAATTATTTTTATTAATTTTTAAATTGTTTATATGTGAGAAAAGTTTTAGCCATTAATATAGAGACCTACTCCAAAAATATATAGTAACACGCAAATATTTGGAAAGTTAGGTGACAAATTTTCTTTCATATTGAGTGTTAATCACATATACAAATCACTAATTGATGAGGATTTAATAAGTAACTAAAATAAGACTCACAATTTTCACAAGAAACTAAAATTTTCTTATTTTATAGGGTGAATTGTAAAAAAAACCTCATGACTATTAGTCAGTTGCAAAAAAATTCCCTTAAGAATTATTTTGGCAAAATCCCCCCTCAATTATCTTGAGGGGGTATTCTAACTGATGTCCATTTAGCAATTTTTTGAGGTAATTTTTTAGACCAAATTACCCCTCAACATTACTGGTTTGGGCATTGTTCAGTCCTCGATTAAATCAGGTGAGTAACAAATTCTGCCAAACCCAGAATTTCCGATAATGATCACCCAAACAATACTAAAATTATTACAATTTATGCCAAAATAAACTGTATTGACAACCACTTTTTGGGAAACTTTCCGCATTGTAGTGAGAATAAATTAGATTATTAAATACACTGACAGGCTTAGAAATCAAGAAGAACAAAATGTATATATGCACACAATCAAGTCTCTAGTTCTACATATATATATACACACACAATTCAATAGATCACACACAAAAAGATGCACACAAATTCAATTGATCACACAAAAAAAACCGGAAATCAGTTAGAATACCAGAGAAGCCGGCGTTCTTCACGCCCTTTGCCCTCACCATCAACTCTCTACCACCGTCAAGAACCAGAGACGCCGGCGTTTGGAGTGCGTCTAGTTATCGGTGGTCGTCTCTGCACCGTCGAAGCATCATCTCGATTCTCGCCCTTCTTGCTCGCCATCGCCGGTGGGTTCTTCAGTGTTCTCTCTGCTACACGAACGACATGCCATCACCCTTTCTTCACTCGATGATTGGCTTGGCAGTGAAAACTTTCATTCTCTTTGTAGAATTAATGCCAAATCTGTTTTGATTTTAGAAAGAGAGATAAGGGGTTTATTATTTGGTGAGTTTCTATTTGATGAATTAATACCAAATTTGTGATTTTTACTTAATAAAAATAAGCTCCATCGTTAAATTGAAGAGTCAGAGAATCAGGGAGGGTGAATTGGGATGGGTTGGAGAGATTTGGGTTGGAGAGATTATTGGTGAATTGAACGGAAATTATGGGTTTGGCAGAATTTGGTGCTCACCGATTTAATGGAGGACTTAACAATGACCAATTCCGTAATGTTGAAGGGTAATTTGGTCTAAAAATTGTCTCAAAAAATTGCTAAATGAACATCAGTTAGAATATCCCCTTAAGATAATTGAGGAGTTTTTTTTGTCAAAATAATTCTTAAGGGAGTTTTTTGCAACAGACTAATAGTCAGGTTTGTTTTTTTTTTTTTTTTTTTGACAATTCACCCTATTTTATATGGGAAAGATTTTAAGAAAAATCAACAATTTGCGAGAAACTAACTTTCCTCCAAATTTTCATTTTCCTTCTTGAACTGTTAAAAAAATTATTTATTTATTATTATTATTATTATTATTATTGTTTTACCTTTCCTGCTACTTCCATCTAACAAACACACCCTAAAATGTTCATAATCTAGACGTATCATTTTAATGTTAAATTACCAAAATTGAAATCAACAGAAAATATATAGTAATCACCAGAAAATATGTTGTAAAAAAAAAGATTGGAGATAATCTTACTTGTTATGTAGAATTTAAGATTGTTGAACTTAGACTACAATTTCTGTTTGGTTAGATAGAAATAACAAGAAGAAAAAAAAAAAAAAAAAATGAAAAATGATAAAAAAAAAAAATAAATAAATAAAAAGAAAAGAAACAAAATGAAATGAAAATTGAAAGGAAAAGTAAAGTGAATTAAAAGGAAAAGTAAAGTGAATTAAAAGAAAATTAATTTTCAAGCATACATTTTATCTGTACTTGCCTAAATTGCTTTATAATGTTATTTCTCTCATGAAATCCCTACAACTATGAAGATGCAATCAGATTTTACGTGAACCACTTTATGTTCGTATTCTTTATTCTGGTGATTGTTCTCACTTCTCAACAACGTCCAAGTATGGCTTTTGGTTTTTTTTTTTTTAAAATGTCTAAGTATTATTTTTCTATTTTCATGTAATTTTATTATTTATAATTTGTGTAATAAAAAAAAAAAAAATTTATTGTAAGATTTTGAACAGGTGCATTGCACCTTTAGTTTCCGAATGTGTGTATATATACACACATACATATATACAGTAATGTTCAATTGCTCTCTTGTGAACAAAAAAAAAGTATACTCACTTTCAATTAAACATGTCTTCAGAAATTTACTACCTAATTAGCACCACCGGAATTTTTTTTTTTGAAAGAAAAAAAAGTGAACGAAGAGTTTAACAAGAAAAACTCTTTTTGTTTTCTTGTTTGCTAATTTTATTTTTCTCTATCGATTAAACGCCACAAATTACATATTCAGGTTTGGCTTATTTGTTTGTTGAGTCAAAGCTGTCACTGCCTTTAATGATATCATGAATCTATTCAAATAGAGAAATTAATGTTCTGATTTTGATTATGGAAAAAATGGTTTATTGTTGGGGACCTCCTCCTGGTCCATTGCCATGCCATCTCGTGAAGTAGGCCACAATTTATAAACTTCATCATTTTTCACAAGTCAAGCTCAAGCCAGACCACACTATATGGTAAATTTTCCATAAATCCATTGAAGTCTCTATCCTTTGACTTTGACGCATAAGCATAATGTCTGGCCCTACCAAAATGAGAAGTTTCATGTATAGCCGTTACGTGGAAAAGTCCATTTTAAAAATCATCTAAATTATTATTTAACCGACATACCCGCAGATAAATATTGCCTATTATTATTATTTATATACAAAATATATATATAAATAGTACCATTATTGCCATATTAAGATTATCATCTATAGGAAAACATTTAATTTCTATGTATCATTTCGTTCTTTTATTGACATGCATCAAATTTAATGAATTAATTGAACGGATGAAAATCTTGATTTAATAGACAATTGTAATAGAAATGCAAGAAGTCAAATAACTAGCCTAAGATTTGAAATCCAACAAGCAAGAAACGAACCCTATCATTCTATATTTTGTAGTCAGTAGTACAAAGATTATAGGATTATTTGATCAAACATATATCTTGATTCATCAACTGCCCTAGTAAAATTTTCTGTAGAGGTTTAGTTTGTGAATATTTGCAAGCAAGAAACTCTTGGGAGACGCGTAACATTGTTGGACGATACTTTTGTTCAGAACGCAAACAAGAAAATGTCAAGGTAGCAGCCAGAACAACATCCCGTGCAATCATTCCATGCTCTGGAGCTGGGAGGCGCGCATCTAACATGTCATTTAGCATTATATTTTGAGTAGATGCTGATGCAAGTGATTGAAGAAGTTCTCCCGGATGCCTTCCCATGAGTGTTTCTAGCGCCACAACCCCAAAACTATAAACATCGCACATTTCATTCACTTCCATGGTGTAGGCAAGTTCTATGCAAACAATAAAGATAATTAATCAATTGTTAGAATATTATTCATGGACCTGTAGTTTTTGGAAAGAAAACGAAAAAAAAAATAGTCCAAGAATTGCATATAAAGAATAGTTCACCTGGGGCGATATATCCAAAAGTGCCTGCAGGTACGGTTTGGTTTGATGAATTCGGATAGAGCCGTCTAGCAGTGCCAAAATCAGAGACAAATGCCTCCGATTCCGAGTCCAACAGGATGTTACTGCTTGATATGTCGCGATGAACAATTGGTGGATTGCAATCATGATGCATATAAGACAAAGCATGTGCAATGCCTTTAATAATGTTCACCCTCCTGGTCCAATTCAATTCCACTGCTTCGTCATCATATCTTAGGGCACAGAATAAGTTGCCTCTTTCCATGTACTCGTAAATTAGGAACATGCAACGGTCATGCAAGCAGAATCCGTAAAGCTTGACTATGTTTCGATGCCTTATTTCTGTTAACATCTGCACCTCATTCCTAAAACTCCTATCGAAAGCTGGTTCTTCGGCTTCTAGTTTATGAAGTTTCTTCAATGCAATAACTTCACCACTCGGCAGTTGTGCCTTGTAAACACTGCCATAACCACCGGTCCCTATGCAGTGTCTAATGTCGAAGTTATCTGTTGCTTTAATGATATCTTCATACACAATGCGTCCATCATAATTCCACACTGAGAACAGATTTTCCTTCTTGATTGCTCTTTCTTCAAATTTCGTATTTTTTCTAACCTTTTTACAGCAGAAGAAAACAGTTCCAAGGATTAAGAAGGCAAGGGAAATGATGATGACAAGCAAAATGGTGCCCAAGTGCACGAATCTGTTTCTCTTTCTACAAGGAGGGAAACCTTCGACTGAACCACATAAACATTTATTTCCCCTTAATTTTAATTCCTGGAATGAGTTGCTTCGAAATTGAAAACTTTGTGGGATTTCTCCCTCCAAATCATTGTATGACAAGTCAATGGACTGCCAATTATAGCTAAAAAAAATGGGAATAGTGCCGGAGAGATGATTGTGAGAGAGATCCAAATGATCTAGATTTTTCAAATTCCCTATCTCTGTTGGTATGGTTCCATTTAACAAATTTTTGGAAAGGTCTAGAGAGTAAAGCCAGTGACCAAGAGATGAAGGGATCTCACCGGTGATATGATTGGAAGAAGTGTTGAGGATGGATAGCTGGGTGATCTTACCAATGGAAGGAGGCAGCCTACCTGTAAGATTATTGAAAGAAAGTTGGAGAGAGGTAAGCTTCCACATCCTTCCAATTTCTGTGGGGATAGAGCCGCTGATAGAATTGTGAGAAATGTCAAGCTCGAGTAGTTGGGTGAGATTAGCCATGGAAAGAGGCAGCATCCCTGTAAGCTCATTGTAAGAAAGTTGAAGGTATTTGAGTTTCGACAACCTTCCGATTTCATATGGGATGGTTCCATTGAACCGACAAAGACTGAGATTGAGACTTGCTAAGTTTGAGAAGGAAGACACAATTGTTGAGGGGATAGAGCCACTGATTCTATTGCCAGAAATGTCGAGCTCAACTATTTGGGTGAGGTTAGCAAGAGAAAGAGGTAGTGTACCTGTAAGACGATTGTGAGGAAGTAGAAGGTATTTGAGTTTTGACAACCTTCCGATTTCATGCGGGATGCTTCCATTGAGGCAACAGTAGTTGAGATTGAGAATTACTAAGTTTGGAAAGGAAGTCATGTTCAATTTCTCTAGCTCTCCCCCCAGGTAGTACCCAGAAAGGCATATCCCAATGACATTTCCAAGCTTATTGCAAGATATTCCATCCCACTCACAGTGACTTGTGGAATTGTCAACTGGAATACTAGTGTTCCCCCACCAACCAGTGCGGAGAAGAGCCTCTGTCTCCTCCATTAATGATGAAGGGATTTCACCGGTGAAGTTGTTACCAGCAAGATTTAGATGAATAAGATAAGTCAAATTAGCAATGGTAGGTGGGACGGAACCGTTAAAATGATTTGAATTAAGGTATATAAATTGTAGCCTGGTGAGATTAGCAATATATGAAAAAATGGGACCGGTGAAATTGTTATAACTTAGGTCCAAGTACTCTAGATTTTTAAGATTCCTTATTTCTGGGGGGATAGAGCCGCTGATAGAATTGTTAGAAATGTCAAGCTGGAGTAGTTGGGTGAGATTAACCATGGAAAGAGGCATCATACCTGTAAGCTCATTGTAAGAAATGTCAAGCTCGAGTAGTTCGGTGAGATTAGCCATGGAAAGAGGCAGCATACCTGTAAGCTCATTGTAAGAAAGTTGAAGGTAATTGAGTTTCGACAACCTTCCGATTTCATATGGGATGCCTCCATTGAACCCACAACGACTGAGATTGAGACTTACTAAGTTTGGGAAGGAAGATACAATTGTTGAGGGGATAGAGCCACTGATACTATTGCCAGAAATGTCGAGCTCAACTATTTGGGCGAGGTTAGCAAGAGAAAGAGGTAGTGTACCTGTAAGATCATTGCCAAAAAGTCGAAGGTATTTGAGTTTTGACAACCTTCCGATTTCATAGGGGATGCTTCCATTGAGCCGACAGTAGCTGAGATCGAGAGTTACTAAGTTTGGAAAGGAAGACATGTTCAATTTCTCCAGCTCTCCCCCCTCGAAGTTCCAATAACGGTATTGGCAGTACGGAGAAAGGTCTATCCCAATGACATTTCCAAACTTATTGCAAGATATTCCATCCCACTCACAGTGACTTGTGGAATTGTGAACTGATGGAATACTAGTGTTCCCCCACCAACCAGTGCGGAGAAGAGCCTGTGCCTCCTCTTTTGATGATGAAGATTTTGATATAATAGATGTGTATGATAAATATTTTGATAGAATAGGTGGTGCGTTTAAGATAATATTAGTTGCTATCCAAACTAGTACAACTGCACAATATTTGAAGGAAACCATGCTTATTTTTCACAAATGGATCAATGGATGGATGCATTTGGTGGTTGTATATAGAATAAATATATATATTACAAAAGGCAAAGTCAGTCAAGCCTAGACACTCCTGCGAAACTTCATGCTAAACTTCGTGGGTAATGGTTGGGGTCCACTCATGTTTAATAAGTTTGCTGGTAGGGTGAAGAATTTGCAGAAAATACTAATGTGAATGCCATGGGAGTGTGGTTTTTGGTGCTGAAATTACACCTAATAACTTAAAATTTTAATTCGAATTATGAAGTACCGATGGGTTATAATTGGTATTAGAGTTATGTATTTAACAGACTCAATTCTAAGTAAATACAAAAAAAAGAAAGTGTTATAAAAAAAATAAAAAATAAAAAAAGAATCTTGAAAGTAGCAAAGTAAATTAGAAAATTTGAAAGTGTTACATGTAGAATATCTATATTCTATAATGAAAAGGGGCGTGTTATGCATTTAATACATGTATGTACACAATTTTTTTTTTCAAGATTATAGTAAGAAAATTTAAAACAAAAGAAATCCTTGTATATAGAATATATATATATTAATTTTACTTAAGGCTAGGATCAAAGCTGAGGAGACTTGTAATTAAGGTCTACACGGACACAGTCAAAGGGAGTCAAGCCCAGCAACTTCTGCCGAGTTTCATGCTAAACGTCGTGGATGTTGTCATCACCAATTTAAGTCATCATTCAAAGTTTTTGACCATTCGTTCCTTGTTGGTAGGGTGAAGAATTTGTAGAAAATATTAATGTGAATGCCCTGTAGAGTGTGGTCTTTGGTCACCCAATTCAAACTGACTAAACTTTGAAGACCACTGTGAGCAAAGTCATTATTTAACAAAAAAACAAATGTTCCACCTTTTTTTTTTATCATTATTTTTTTCTTTTCTTTCTAGAATTAATGCATTCAAGTGTTTGTTTCACTTGTTGGATTATTTTTATTAAACTAATGCTAGTGATAACGCACATTTGATTGGTCTACGTATTTGTATGTTTGTGTTGACTCATTTTTCACAATGAAACCCTATAAAAAAATTAGTTGGGTATTAGTTTTACCTAATAATTTAAATTTTTTGGTCTAATCACGAAGTACAAGCCAGTTAAAATTGATGTCAGAGTTGTATATTTAAGAGGCTTAATCCTAAGTAGATATCAAAGAAGAAAAAAAAAAAAAAAAAAAAACAAGAAAAAAAGAAGAAGAAAAGGAATATTGAAAGTACCAAAGTAAAATAAAATGAATTTTGAAAGTGTTAATCAATTTATGTACACATGGGAGCACCAAAAAGCTACATAGCTCCATCGGCCATGTATTTTTTGGCCTATTGACATTGGTGGAGCCAATAATTCACTTTAGAGGGGTCAACCGTTAATAATATTATAGTAAAAAATTTTGAACCAAAATAAATACATAACAAATGAGGGCGCTTTTCTGAATTTTGATTTAAAAAAATTTGTGAGACTCAGTCGAGGAGGAAAATCACTTGTTAATTTTTAAAAATTTTGTTGGGTAGTGATTTAAAAAGTGAGGGATTTTTTTTTTTTTTTTAAAAAGTTTTGTAAAGGGCTTTTGTGGCATTTTTAGGCTTTCATATCCGCATTTTTAGAATTATTAAAATTTAAATAAGAAATTTACCAAAAATGAAAAAGTCCAGTGGGAGCAATTGCCCTTATTGGGCCTAGCATGGCTCCGCCCATTCCTATTGAGCCTTGCTCTTCAGCCCAAGTTAAAGCCCACTGTACTTTCCTTACATTTATACAATTTTGCATAAACTTCAAAAAAAAAAAAAAAAAAAAAAACAATATTATGTGAACCAATATTGATATTGGGATCTAAATGCAAAGATGGTTATGGCTGTACAACAAAAAAAAATAATAATAAAGAAGCGTTGAATCAAACGAAACATTAATACACGTTGTGCCAAAAGTAACATCACCACGCCAAAAAATAAAGAAAATGACAGATATTTACATAGCACTCTATTAGTTAGTTTTACAGAATTTATTAAAGATCTCTTCAGAGTGGTTTTGGACAAACACCATAAAAGGAAAAATAAAAACTTACAGGTGTGTCATTTATGTTGGTAAAATATATGCTTTATGTGATATAACAAATCTTATACTAATATATCATGAGATAATTAACAATATGCTAAAAAAATATTAATTAAATATGCAACTCTATATTTAATTAAATAAAACAATAAAATAATAATAATACTAAATAAAGAACCTAGATCGAAGTTAGTATTGGATATTATGTTCGTAAGACAGATTCGCCCCGCTATGGTACTAACGGACTCAGTTGCGTCTATCTCCCAGGATACAACGGTATACATCCACCAGTAGCAGCACTACAAACTCTTGGATACGGCGAACTTCCTCTGTGTAATACTCTCTCTGACTCAAAAATGCATCTATACTATATAAATGCTGAATTGGATGCAATCCGAACCAAATTGTTCGGACCAATCTTAATATGATTCGATGAAATTGGATTAGGGTCTAAGTGGCTCGGACCACTTAACCTATCGTTTGAACCCACTTGGGTTAGGTTCAAGTCTAGAGAGGGAGATAGAAGAAAATGAAAAATGAATTAAGTGCAAATGATCCAAAGGGGGGTATTTATAGGCAACAAGGTGCCTTTTCGGATTGGGTGCAACCTTTTGAAAAGAAAAAAAAATAGTTTTTAATTAATATGCATTTTTGGATTAGGTATGTCTCTTCATCATTGGACACAACCATTTATAATTGGTTGCAATGGTTTACATGGTGTCTGTTTACCAATAGATACATCCACTCCAATATGTTGCAATGGTTTACATGAATAGTTATGTCTGTTGGTTTTGAGTTGCAACCCTTTAGAAACAAATACAACTCTTTGAAAAACAGATGCAACCCTTTAGAAATAGATACAACCCTTTGGAAAAAAAATTAACTTTTAATTTAAATTCAAAAACTAACCACCCATTTAAGCCCAGCCCAAAATTAAAGGCCCAATCCAAGATTCCATTTAGTAAAAAGAATAATTGGACTTTACAATTAGGCCCAAGCCCAAGCCCAAATTTGGCTTATTTAAATTTCAATTAGTTTCAAAAATTTTTCCATGTGGGACAAACACTTCCCACATTTTGCATACCCATTAAGGCTTATCAAAACACCACATTTTGGAGCTAATTTCTCATTCACCCGGAAACGGATTTGAGAAAGTAAATATATCACGTTCATCTTCTTGCGGAGAAAAACGCGCTCGTCTAGAGATTCTCAAAAAATTATTAGTGGAATCTATTTCAAACCTCATCCAAAGTTTATGTTTTTAATGTCCCCGTTTCTAACAATCCCCACATGAATGGAAATTTGCGTAAAATGCAAAAGATGATCATGCAGACACTAGAGAGAGTATAGTCAGAAAGTTACTGCATCAGGATAGGTAGCTTTTGGCTTTGAACCTTCCTTAGTGTATTGCTATCAGATTTACTAGCTAACCAGTGAATGCGATGTCTTGAACTGTTCAGCCGTTTGTGTAAACCAAGACAATAACAAACACATAGTACCTTTCCTCACAAAGTTGGTTCTCATTGTTGTGTTTATTTTGGCCCTGAACAACTCTTAGTATTCAATGAGTGCTCTAGAAAACTTAGCCTTTAGAGTTCTCATAGAAGCGGCCCCACTTCACACTCATATAGGTGACTTCTTATTAAGAGTATTCTACCATACCCCACTTGAATTTCCAAGGTATAAGAGTCATTAAAAGCGTAGCTTATCCTAATCCTCGCTGTAGGTAGCACTATCTCATCATAGAAATGTGCAGAAGATTTTTATCTTCCCAGTGCTTCTGGTGAGCCATTCAGAATTCCTATTATCCCTTTGAACTTAGATCTTGGGATCTCCAGTCAACTAGGTTGGGTTTCTATTAAGATGACTCGTTAGTTTTCGGCTTTAAACCCCATTCCCCTCGATGATCTGTACAATTGCTCTCTAATACAACCCTCAATTTTATATGTGGCCACAAGGTTGTATTTAGAAATATTACACTCTGCAGAGATTTCTCCAGATGAGAGCAACTGTATACTTTGTGCCCTAAAATTGCTTATTGTTAGCAATATCATTTTAGTAGCACAGGTGTAGACTTACTTTGAAATGTCCTCTAGGTGAAGTCTATTGACTTTCCTATTTGATTTATTCAAAGTTTCTAATTTTGAGTTATATTAAGAACATACAATTACACCTTTAATATAAAAGACATATTCACTCTTGGATTTGAAGTCTTTAATATCCTATATCCAGATTGCATCACTGTTACACCTCCAATTTAGTTAGATACTCGATCTATGCAATATTGGATTTAGGGTGTATCTCAACTACCCAATTTATTGTTTTTCAATGATTCGATCCTGGATTGAAAATGTACAATTAAACACAGTTATTAAGATGCCTTACAATCTAAACAAACAATATACTTTGACTAGTATTTATATTTGAGATTTACATCTATAAAAGTTAGTTAGGCTTTTGTTATCATAACTAGTATTATCTCAATTTCATTCTATTGAGAATATACTATGTTATCAGATGTTAAATCTTTTATATCAAATATATTAATTAGTATATCATTTTTTTTTTTTTTAAGGCATACAATGACTTATACATCACATTTATGTCATTGTCTTGGTACCAGCTTTAATCCACTCAAGGACTTATAACCTTGCACACTTTACTCTTCAACTAGAACAAATAACTCAGCTCTTCGGCTGGAAAAAGAACTCTTCTAGTTGTTCCATAATATTTTCTTCATAGGAAACAACATGCACTATTGTTATAATACTATAAATGATTTTTGGTTCTATCCAAAATCTCTTAGGATTAAGAACCCTATATTTATAAGTATTTCTTATCTGGTGAGGTAACTCATTACAAATTTAATTTATGGACAATATCCCCCCACAACTTTGGGATAATTCTGAAATTTTATATATGATATATTTGTTATGGTTTT